GGAGGGAGGAGGGAGAGGAGGAGGAGGTGGAGGGAGGAGGAAGAGGAGGAGGTGGAGGGAGGAGGGAGAGGAGGAGGAGGGGGAGGGAGGAGGAGGGGGAGGGGGGAAGAAGAGGTGAAAGGGGGAGGAGGAGGGGGAGGAGGAGGGAGAAGGGCAGGCGGGCCCTGGGAAAGCCCACCCGCAGCACTCAGCCGTCACCCTCTGCCTCGTGCTCTGGGCTGTGGGCTGCATTGTTTGCTGGCTGGGTTCTCTGTCACTTGAATGGCTGGTTGCCTTTTGGAGCTGGGTCCAGCCGGGATCTAGGGCGCCTTCCTGGGTGACAGGGACCGTGATTGGGTCCTGGCCGTGCCCTTGGCTGTTACTGTAGCAGTGAGCTTGGTTGGGTCTGGCAGATCTGTGTCCTTGTGAGCTTCAAGGTGGGGTGTGGACAGCTCGGTCGGTAGAGCATGTGACTCTCGATCTCAGAGTCGTGAGTTCGGGCCACACGTTGGGGTGGAGCCTACCCTAAAAGAAGAAAAAAACGAAAAGAATAAAGGACTGGCAGGTCACCCTGACTTCCTATGTCTCTGCCATCAGCCTGGGGACCACATGGCTTGTGTCCCTCCCTGCTGCTTGGTTCCGGGCGGCCCACCCCGTGGCAGAGGGTCAGGGGACTCGGCCACCACTTTCTCCTCCCCCAACAGCATCCCCAAGGGAACGGACTGTGGCCCTCCCAGGCCTACACCCGTTCACTGACCCGCCTCTGGGTGCAAGGCAGCCCCCAGGACGGACTGAGGTCTTGTCCCACTTCTGCCCCTACCCTGCTGTGACCTTGGCTATCCCTGCCTCTCCGGGACTCAAGCCTTCTCACTCTGACGTGCTGTGTGGGAATTTGCGACTGGCCCTCTAGCCCCCAGCTAAAGTTCTGTCTGTCGGTATCCCTAATGGGTGGCACACGTGTTCCCACCAGGGGGCGCTTGCAGGGGCGCGGAGTCTAGGGGAGGAAGGGAGAGGTTCCTGAGGCCGAGCGTGGGAGCTTTGTGACGCTCACGCACATGTCTGCACTTGTGACACACACTGTCCACCCGATGTCCTGTGGACGTTTCCTGGTCGTTAAACGTCCTTAAACACTTCGTTTTAATGGCCACCGAGAGCCCAGGACGTGGCCGCACCCTGGTGGGTCCCCAGCCCCTGTTGGACATCGGTGACCACGGTACTGTCTCTGTATCTCTGCTTGGTTCCCGTGGGCGCGTCCTGGAAGCGTGATTTCTGGCTCAAAGGTGGCTCCGTCTTGGAGCCCGTGACGTGTGTCACCCGCTTGCCCCCAGGAAGGTTGCGCCAGCTCACACTCCCACCCTGCACAGCACCCTGGCCGGCAGTGAGTGTCGTCTGGGTGCCTGGGGACATCTCTGCCGCTTCACGCTTTCCACTTTGGGAGCGACCCAGGTCAGCAGGCTGGCGGTGGGTCCGGCGGCTCAGTCCCAGCAGGTGGTCATGAGGACAGGCAGGGAAGGAACGAGCCCAGGAGGTGGCCAGAAGCTCCGCTCCCGCCCGCCGTGGCCTCCGTCACCCTGTAGGTCAGCGCACCTGCCCCAGACAGCGGCCTCTGTGGCACAGTGGCCTCGCGGGCCTGGTTCAGGGCCTGGGCTCTGTGCCCAGTCCTGCGGTCGGGGGACATGGCTGGGGTCCGCGGCTCAGGCTTGTGGGCGCGTGCGTCCTTCCGAGTGCTCCGTCCACCTTGCTGAGAACGGGGCTTCTGACTCAAGGTCCGGAGACTTCTGTTTGGACAGAGATAAGGCTGAGCGGTGGGAGCACGTGGAGGTGAGGGGACAGAGGGGAGCGTGAGACACCCCAGGCTCGGAGATGCTCTGTCTTCCTTCTGGGCAGCCAGCACCGGAGGCTGAGGCCCCGAGCTGTGGCAGGTGCACCAGAAGGATCCTGAACAGGTCAGGGCCTCCCAGGCCTGCAGGACGGGAGGCCCCCGTGCGTGGTGGGGAGGGGGCCCAGCAGCGTGGTGGGGACAGGGGGGCCGAGCACCGCTCAGGCTGGCTGTGAGGAAGGGGGCGGGCTGAGGTCACAGGGGCCAGGAGCCCTTTGGGGAGGGCCTTCCTAGAAGCCACAGTGTGGACACAACCCTGTGGTCAAGGGCAGTCATGGGAGGCCCTCGGACAGGTCAGATCTGGGTTCAGAAAGGTCATTCCGGGAGCCCCAGAACATGGGAAGAGGCAGTGGCCTAAGGTGACAGCTGTCCAGGATCACGGCTCCTGAGGCTTCTAGGACTTGGGCAGGAGGCAGGACAGTCCTTTCCCAAAGGAGCTGGGGTCAGCGTGGGCCTGTGGGTCAGAAACCCAGCTTTGCCCCCAGCCGGAAGCTGTTCCCCGGCCTGCTTCTCATGGGGTCTGCAGGGACGGAACAGAGGTGGTGACAGAAGACACGCATCTCCACCGGGCACGAGGCAGGTGCTCAGGAAGCAGGACCTCTGACCACAGGGGAGTGACTCCGGGGGGTGAGGACTGGGTATCGAGAGGGGCTGGAGGTGGAGCCCCGGGCCCCGCCCCTGCACAGAGACAGAGGGCCCTTCTCTCCTCCTTCCCCTCTGTCCTCCCTCGAGCGGGAGCGTGGGTGCCGTGAGGTGAGGCCGCTGACGGGGAGGGGGGTCCGCGCCGGGCGCAGGAGAGCAGAAGTTAGATGAAGGAGCTCCAAAATGTCCCCCAAAAGTCCAAAAGCTTTTCCCTTCTGATCCAGTGAACACTTCTAGAACTCTCTCCCTCGGGGAGCCTAGAACGAGGGTGAAAGCTGGGAGCCGTCTGAGTGTCTGGGGGGGGGGGGGGGGGGCTGAGATGTGCTCCACCAGGGACTTACTGGGGTCACAGAACTGAGGATGGGTGACCTGGTCCACACAGTGTTTTCTAGAAGTGTGAGCCGACATTTACAACTCCCAGACGTCGGGTGAGCCTTGGTATCCATTCCCGCCAGGCGGCAGCTCCTAGGCCGAGGGCGGCCTCCCCTTCGGTGGGGCCGTGCCCCCCAGTCCCCACCACCCCTGTTCCTCCCTGACACAGAAGCTGGGGTGAGGTCGGGCACTGTCCTGGTCTTGACCAGAAACAAAGAAACAGGAGGAGGCTCAGATCAGCCCCTCGGGGGGCTGCCGTTCTTGTTGCTTTGACCTTCTGTCCGGCCAGTCTGTCCCCGGCCCGTTCTCAGGAGGCAGAGGCAGGACCTCGGGATCTGAGGGAGCCCTGCCTTGGGACAAGTTCCAGCTGGCATGCCAGCGGGAGCAGACACAGGGGCCTCCGCGTCTCCAAGGCCTCCGCCTCCTTGCTGCATCCCTAAGCCTTGTCCGTGCTTCGGGGCCATCAGACCTCCTCCTCCGGGCAGCCTCCCGCCTACCCCAATCCCTCGCCTGTCTGCCAGCAGCCAAAGCACTTTCGGGACCAAAGTCCCGGCCCGAGGAAGGCCCAGGGGCCCCGGGAGGGGGTGACCCTAGGCCGGCGTGGTCCCAGCCGCGGTCTCCCCCTGCAGAGGAGCCGCTGTGGACCACCCGGGCCGACGGACGCGTCCACCTGCGTGTCCACCCCACCTGCCCACAGCCGCCCTACACCGTGCACCAGATGTTCCACGAGGCCCTGGACAAGTACAGGGACCTCAGCGCCCTGGGCTTCAAGCGCCAGGGCGTGTGGGAGCACATCTCTTACTCCCAGTACTACCTGCTGGCCCGGAGAACCGCCAAGGGCTTCTTGAAGGTGAGAGCCCCTCCCCAGACCTACCCTCCAGCTCTGGGCCCTCGGAGGCCTGCTCCCCGACCCCTGCCTGACAAGCCTTTGGAAATGATACCTGTGGAGCCTCCAACACTTTTTGGGTGGGTGCGATGGGCCAGGCCCCGTTCTGAGGGTTTTACCTTTACTGAGCCCTCATCACCCGCCGGGCACTCAGCACTTACTTTTCGTCTGTGCTCACGTTCGGATGAGCGGGGGCCGCCTGGTGTGCTGGCCGGGAAGGGCCCGGGGTGCCCTCTGACTGGGTGCCTGGGAGGCTGGTCCCTGCGCTCTGGAAGGGGCCCCGCTGGGCGTGAGAGGCCCCCTTCTGAGCCGGCTGACCGGGCCTGTCTGCCTTGGTCCTGGAGCTCGGCCTGGAGCGGGCCCACAGCGTGGCCATCCTTGGCTTCAACTCCCCGGAGTGGTTCTTCTCGGCGGTGGGCACGGTGTTTGCAGGGTGAGTGGCTGTGGGTGGGGCAGGGTCTCTGGTGGGTCGGGGGTGGGCCGAAAGTGGAAGGAGGGTTGTTTCTTCTTTCCCCAACTTCCCCTTCCTCCCGGGGGCCCCCTCTGCCTGTCTGGGCCCTCCAGGGCAGGGGCTGGGCCTCTGCACTGGCTCAGACAGGACCCCTCCTGGGTCTCCCGCAGGGGCGTCGTCACCGGCATCTACACCACCAGCTCCCCGGAGGCCTGTCAGTACATCGCCCATGACTCCCGTGCCAACATCATCGTGGTCGACACACAGAAGCAGCTGGAAAAGATCTTGAAGGTCTGGGGGAGTGCGGAAGTGGGCTTGGGGGCCCCGAGCCGGGTGTCCTTGGAGACCTCCAGCTTGCAAAGGGCTTTTCCATCCCCCCCTCCCGGGCCCCTCCCCCTCATCCTCCACAGCAACCCCACGTCACACACATACATGTACAACAAGACAGGGCAACGGGTACCCACCCACCCACTCGCCTGGTCGGGCCGCTGAGGCCCAGAGTCAGGAAATGTCCACCCCAGGTAAAATTTGCATCACGCAAGCTTCCGAGCAGACCAGGCTGCGGGAGTGTGGCCGGCCCTCGTGTGCTGGTCCCACATGTCGTGTTCCGTCGTGCAGTGCGCCGGTCTGCCTCTTTCGCTGGAGTTTTTGAAGCAAATCTCTGACATGAACTCATGTCCCCCCTGAGTATTTCAGTAGGCATGCATTCTCCACGAGCACACGAAATGTCTCTCACACGATCCCGGTGGTCTCATCAACCACCCACCGCAGGGCTGTTTTGACATAGGTGCCTTTGAATCAGGACACGAACCGGCCACAGGCCGTGTGTGGCCATGTCTCTGTCTTTAATTCAGAGCAAAGCCCAGGCTGGCCGGCCGGCCGACGGCGTCCTTACCTGGGAACCCGCTTGAAATGCAAACCCCGAGGCCCCACCCCAGACCCGCTGCGTCTAACACCGGGGGCGTGGGGCGCCCCCGCACGCTGTCCTGAACACGCCTGCCGGGCGGGGGGCGGGGAGCGCGGCACGGGACCACACGTGGGGGCTGTTGCCGTCAGCCTGCGGCAGCAGCCGGGTCAGCGGTCCCGGGCAGTGTCCCGAGATCCGGATTTATCTGCCCTCCTCCTCTCCCTCAACTTCTGGGGGCGGGGGCGGGGGCGGGCACCGCTCCTCCACCGTGACGGTCCCCACCAGCCTTTCTCCACTGATGGTCACCACTGAGTGGAGGCAGAATGTTGGTTTTCTAATTCACCGGCTGGGACTTTTCTCCAGAGAGAGAGCTGTGTCTCACTGCCTGGGGCACTTTGCCACCGGAAGCCCCTGTTTGTACACACGTGTGGTGGGCAGGATGACACGGTGTCTCGGCGACTGCTCCCTCTGTGCACGTCCGAAAGGACACGCGTCGGCGACGTGAACGTCGGCGTGGCCGATGGCTTCATCGTGTGTGTCCTTGTCGATTTTCTCTTTGTTGCACCGAAGACCAGGGCCGAGAGCTGAACCCCCCGTTGTGATTGTGGATTTGTCCGTTTCTGCTGTCAGTTCCATCAGTGTTGGCTTCGGGGGTTTTGCAGTTCTGTTACATATATACCTGCATGGAGTTGTGTGTCCCCTCAATTCAGTAACCGCTTTGTCGCTAAGAAACGTCCCTAAAGAGCAACATTCTTGTCCCAGAGCTACTCTGTCTTACGCTGCGAGAGCCACCCCAGAATTCTTGTGATTAGTGTTTGCACGGCGTCTATTTCTGCCTTGTTTTGCCTGGAACCTATCGGGTCCTTAGGTTTAGAGCAAGTCCCCCGTAGACCGCACAGACTTGGGTCCTGCGTTTCTGTCCCACCGGACAAACTGTAAATCGACCAGTTTGCTGCTCCTATGTGTCCTGTGCTTTGTCCCTTTTCTCCCCTTCCCGGAGTTCTTTTGGATTGAGTTTTTTATTTTTACTTTATCTTGTTTTTTGGTATTCCGTTTTCTCTCCAGTGGCTAATTAGCTCCCCCTCTTTGCTATTACGCTAGGCTTTGCCTTTGCCTTTGTAACTACGCACAGTCCACTTTATTACACGATCTATACTGCCA